CAAATGATGTTAAAAAAGATTTTATTAGTAATGTTGATAATAAAGAAAATATAAATCAAAAATCAAAACATGATATGCCTTTGATTCACAATGTCGTTTAAAAGAATTTGAATTAGTTTTTCATTGATTTTGATTAAATGTATTCAATATTTACAGAACTTATGTTTAGCTTTAATAAATATTGATATTCTAATGCATTATGTTTGTATATTTTATTAATAAGTGAAAGAAAAAATGAAAGCCAAAAACATAAAAATTTATGTAGTATATTTAAATTTGCTCCTTCATTTGTCTCGTTGTATGCTTTTAAAATAGAAATCTCTATGAATTTTATGCTCTAATAAATATACACATTTTATGTATAAAAAAACCATGACTTAAATTAACCATGTAGTTCTATTTTTTATAGAATTTTTCTTGTTTGATATTAATATGATTGTATATTTTTACATTTCTTATCTCTTTTGTTTAATTTTCTTGTAAGAACCTAAAGATCATTGATTATTGAAAAATAAAAGTTAAAAAGAAAATCATTCGATTTAACGAATATTATCAGTTATTGAGCGAAGAACATTTGTACTGTTATACTGCTTGGCTCATTTGATTTCTCTCAGTGTCAATGCTTCTGTTGGGTTGATTATTATGAATTGTTTGCTTACCATTCTTTTTGCTGTTGAATTTGAACAACTGTTATTCTTCTTAACTGTAGTTATTTTCCATTTCATATAGACTAAATAATTGATTTTTATATATTTGACGTTCACTTAAAAAAAAGTTTGTCACTTAAAAAATGATCCATTTGTATTTCTAGTATCGTATTTCATTTCATATAGATGATAAACATTCAAAAAAATGTTTATCATTATACACTCTGAGGATATAACAAGTGTGATACTTGGCAGAAAAATGAACTGTTGAGTAAAGAAAATAATGGTTTTATAGATGTCATTTTGTAAAACACGATATAAAACGAGTGTTTAAATATAGAGATAGAAATTTGGATTCTTCATCGTCTCTCTCCACAGATATCATAGGCATAATCACGAGTTCTAAGTTCGCTGCAAGGTTAATATGATAATTTTGCTGTACTTTTCTTTCACACTGACTATAATATATAGCGATAAATATCTTTTATCATACACAAACATGCTGATTATTTTTGAATACTTTCAACTATTGCGTATAATTGAATATTTGATGGTCTTATACTTTCAAACGGTCGTATGATAATTATATTCTTGCAAGATATATTTGTGTATATTTGCAATATGATGAGAACTTTGCTAAATTTTACATGTCAATAAAAATAGGTTGCATTGATGAAAATTATATTTTAAGCAATTCTACATTAACATACAAATTTTTGCTTATGAGTGAGTGTCAAAGTTTAAAGGTGCTCTCATCAACTTCCATAGCTTTTTTGTTCAACCGTTCTGACATTATCTTGTATGTAAACACAAGAATTCTTTACAAAAACATGCATTATATTCTCGCATGCGACAATATAATGCATGTATATGCAGTATTTTCCCGTGGTTACAAGCGGCTTTTTTCTTCCAATAATTGTGAAAGACTGAACATAAGGAAGGAAGAGAAAAGAAATAATAATAAAACTATGCAAAAATCAAATGCATAATCATAATAGAAGAAATGGAAAGGATCTATGACCATGAACGATATATGTGAATGGCAGAGCCTGTTTATCCAAATCTTATTTGCTCTATAAAATGGAATTAATAACTCACTTATTTCAGCAAGAATGTAAAATGTGATAAGATTTATCTCAATAGTTAGATTATATTGTTCGTTTGACAATAGATTTAACAGTTAAAGAATTTATAATCGGTAAAAATTTATGTTACTTCTATCGTCAGATGCCTGAACTCTACCGTAAAGCTTTGCTAATTTATAATAAGAAGTAAAAATAAAAAAAAAATACAAAGAACTCATATTGAGTTATTGTTGTTCAATCAAAATCAGAGAAACAATCAATAAATAATAGTATTTTTTAATATTAAATATAGTAATATTCACTCGTTCAATCGATATTTTACGAATAGATGTTATCAACATCCTAATACGATGTTTAGATTAGAGAGAAGATATTAATTTAACAATCAATGTTAACTGTCTACTATATCACTGGCAAAATCCATAAAGATTTTTCCATTGATTATATGGGCGTGAGCAACCGACTTGGTACCCCATTTTGATACAGTCCTATTGTAAGGATAAAACATACTATTGTTCGGGTCATATAAGAGAGGAACCTAGCTAACCCTGGATTGACCCGGACAACATCATGTTTTATCCGCACAATAGTTGTGAAAAGCTACGAGCTTACCTTATGAGTTGGTAGCTTTTCTCTACTATTGTACGNCTATACTACTTAATTATTAAAAGTGTTCGCAATTTGGAAACGTAATAAAAATAAGATCAACGTTATTTTCTGTGTTCCAAATTGCGAACACTTTTTTCTTAATTGGCTTAATTTTTGTTCGCAATTTGGAAGCTACGGTAACATGCTCGTTCAAATAAAAGCAAAACTAATTAACTATAGTATAAGCTGCTTCTAGAAATTCGGAAATGCATAAGCAGAGAAAAAACAAAATACGATTTTCTTTTCAAGTCGAAATTCTTCTTTTTATTTAAAATAATCTTGAATGTTAGAGAGGTTTTTTTTTCATCGATATGTATAGAAAAAGATGTATTTTTTGAAAGAAGTTGATAGTCGTACGATAGACTTTTAAAACATTCTGTAGAATTATTAAACGATTTTGAATCTTCAATATTATTCTTATCTGATTGGAACTAATATTTTTATAGCTACATTTGAAAAAAAAAAAGTTTTTCATAAGAGCATTTTAAACGCGTTTTTTTTCATCTTTGGGAAAAAAATATTTTACAAGAAAACGTTTTCAACTAATCAATCTTTTTCTCACAGGCAGTTAGTGAATTATGGGTTATCCATGATCTTGACTCCAAATATGACAATGGGAAGTTCTTTTAGATCTTTAATGTTGATTTCCTAGAGAAGCCAATTTAACAGTAATCTTTTCTGATTCAAACTATTTTATTTTTCGCAGAAAATACTGTCATTTTCATTCATTCAATACATTTACAATGAGTACGAAAATTATTCAACAAGATTTATTTTCATTTTTTCCGTTGTTGTAACTGTTAGAAAGAATCCAAATACTGATTCGAATAGAGAAAATAGTTTCCAACAAGAATATAAGGAAATAAAAATTATTGTCAGATTCGTAAAGATAGAAGCTTCAAAAAGGCAACATCTCAATTTTTCAACACGTTCTATTTAGACTAAACAAAACGGTAGAGCAAATCATTTCTACAAAATAAGACATTAACGAATTCTTAAAGTCGTTATTTTTGCTGAGTTATAGAAATTTGATTGAAGGTAAAAATAATGAAATTTCTACAGAAAATTGGAAAAGAAAACGACTTCAGGAGTTTCCATAAGATTGCTGTATGTCAGTTAAAAAATGTTATAGCGAATGATGAGGTGTGTCATGTTGTAGAATATTGTTTATTCTATCGTTCTATGTAGTCTAAACAGTGTTATATTTACCCGTTCTGGGCGCTGAAAAACTAGTCTTTCAGTTTTCTGAAGCCTCTGCCTTTGATTTTGTTTTATATACATTTTGGAAACAATTTTCTCTATATAAATCTCTATTTGGAAATCTTTCTGACACTTACGACAACACAAATTAGACTTAAAACTCAGTGTTGGAAAACAGAAAGGATAATTTTCTTATAGACAGCTTGATATGCTCTATAATATGAGTAGATTGCAAATGTTTTTTGCAAAGTATTTGTTAGTCTCGAAAACAGTTTTTCTAGAAAATCAATATAAAAAAGCCTAAGATGATTTTTTATCGTTATATATGTAGGGCGTTCGAAAAGTTCTCAGCCTATTTCCATTTAAAAATAACAAGAAGTACTTATGTACTTGTATTATTGTTTACGTGTAGTTCATGCAGTCCTCTATCCTCATATACACTGATAAGAAATTTTAAACTTCAAGTATCCATTAATGATAAAGTTTCTTGCTCTAGAAGTCATATCCTTATCGAAAATTTCTGAAAGTATGGGTGGCAATTTATGGTGACCATGCTACATCGTACACTATGCTTTCGAATTAGATCGTTGCTTTAAAGATACACAGTCAAATATTGACGAAGATCGTAGGTGTGACGTAACACAAATATGAAAGCTGTTAAAACATTAGTAGTCGAAATATGCCGAATTACAACTTACTCAATCACAGACACTATTAGCATTAAAAATGTATAGTGCTTAGTTCTTTATATGATCAACGATATATGGCCAAAGCTTGTTCAAGCTGTACTTCACATCCCATAACATCTGCTCAGCTATATGATGTTCTTACATCATTGTTGACTTGTCTATCTTTGAAGTGGTAATCCCATTCAAAACTCATAGTGTGTGAGGTAGCATTTTTTACTGTAAACAATGATCACATCTTCATAAACATTGGACGATGGCTGATCTTCCGAAACACCAAATTGTGTTAATGTTTTTTATTTTAGATCAGCTTATATACGGTAATCTAGAATATATTGATATATTTGTACAGAAATCTTCTATTGATTAGAGCTCACGATAAATATGTAAATAGAGGACTGCATGAACTACACGTAAACAATAATACTAATATATCAATGTTTCTTGTTGTTGTTTTCAAAATAAAAACAGTCTGGGAACTTTTTGCATGCTTTAAATATTTCATAACTTTGTCGGTAGATATCAAAAGTATTTGTTGCAATTATGATTTCTCAAAGAATATTATTTTTCAATCTTTAACATTCATAGTGATCAATCAACGAATTTTGTTTTTTTAATACACATATCTTTGAAAACATTTATGATGATATTTTGAAGAAAAAACAAAAAACAGAAACACTTTTACTCTTTACATAGATCTTGATTAAAATAAATACAATCATTAAATAATATCTTTATATTTGAATTGTTTTTTCCATGAGTTGTGCAAGTTGACCATGATCATCTCTTTTTTCTATTATATCGTTTAAGTCAGCTTCAATAACTTGTCTACGAAGAATATGTTGAATAAATCTGACTGAATACATAATAGAATCATAGTAACCTAATCTATATATCACATATTTCCATAAAAGTGTCAAATAATAATTTTGTGTTAAAAAAATTTCTTTTGGACATGGATTAAAATCATTTGAATTATATTGTATTTTTTTGAATACTGGTGAAATTCCACATGTTAAAACAAGAATAATAAGAAAGAGTTTTATAAAAAGTGGATCATATGGTGAAAATGTTTCATACATTAATATATGTTTTTCTAAATGTTGAATAAGATTTTCTGTAAAAATTGATTCAAATAAAAATCTATCATATTCCCATGGAAAATATTTTAATACATTTGATTTCATTAATTCACTTGTATTTAATGATAATAATGTTCGAATATTATCTTTTATATATTGATAATTATTTTCAAGAAATTTATTATATTGAAGAATACGTTTAATAAATGAAACAATAACATTAAGATATTTTTCTCTAATATCAATTAAACGTTGTATTTTAATACGTGAACGATATGGTTGTGTTGTTATTATAAGTGGTATTGTTTCATGTGAAGCAAGAAATGGTTCAATACAATAATCTTCATATGCATTTCGAATATTTGTTATTAAATTCCAATCATCAAATGATAGAGTTGATTGATTATTTGATGGTAAAAAATTCATCTTCAAATAATTTATATTTTTGAAAACAAAAATAGATTTCTTTTTGTTTTAAATCGAAACAAACTTACAGTTGTTAATCTTGATAGTTGTTCATGATAATGGCTACTTACTATCATTCCTGATGTAGCTCGACCAATAGCAGTTAAACTACGAATAAGTTCTTTTTTCATTCCTTGTCGAAAACATTTATTAAGACGACAAGCTGAACAATGTCGTCTTGTTGCTATTGTTATTTCACATGTACTTAATAATCGACATGTATAACGAATCTAAGACAGTAAAACAACAAGAATAACATTCATAAAAAAATCTAAATTTCAGAAAACAAATGATATTGACTTACATGTTCATTATACGCATTTCGACGAAAAAATGCTTAAAAAAAAATAATAAATTTTTTCTATATTATTTCGAATTAAAAATATCGTATAAAAATTTTTAATTGTTAAAAATATTCACATACCTTTTAATCAAACATGCAAAAAAAAAAAAATCTTACTATTTGCTCTACTTTTTGCTTTTCTATTTACTAAATAACAACAAAACAATCATATTAATTACCTTTACAGGATAAACATGTATATGCATCAAAGTTACGTCCTATAAATAGTAATATTCAAAAAAAGAAACAATTTTTTTTTAGAATATATATCGAATTTATACCGATAGCAGTTGCACCACATACCACACATAGTGCACGTGAATCCATTGTCATGCACCTGGCGAGAGTGTTGGAAGTATGAGATGGGCCACTTTCCGTGTAACTGATTAATAAAGTCACTTTTTGATATGGCGCAGTCTTTTTTTGTCTTTCTATTTGTAACTGTAAATGCACGTAATTGCACTCCTAAGGTACGCCAGTGACATTACATTTTTTTTCTTTCTTTTCTCTTCATTCTTTAGTAACATTATATTCCTTCCTTATACGATGCTTTGAAATGCTGTGAAAATGTGCTCTCAGTTTTCTCTGTGTTGTATTCTTAACCTTGATGATAAACTTAATTATTTATTTCATTGAAGAGAAATATAAAAGATGACGATAGATTATTTTACAAATTCTATTCTATAAACTGATAATATCAATAAAAGAACAAAGAAGGAAACTCTAAGAATCTATTTTTCTGAATGTTAATCTTTACCTTGAATACAATGGGATGAAATAACTTGTTTTGAAAATCCTTTTAGATATTAAATTATCGTTCACTTGCTTGAACTTAATTAAGTATTTTTGTACTTTAGACACACTTTCACAAAGAAAAATATGCTAAAGAAAGTATCTATTCCTATTCTTTTTTTGTGTTCTTTTCTTAACCGTGTTTTTTTTACTTTTCTTCCTTTAGGAATGACGGGAAAAAAAAATTTTTTTAAATTAATAAACGCTAAAGCAGATTTTCTTCTTGTCAGAATGCCAATATTGTTTTAATCATACTCATGGCAACATTATTAAAACAAAATCTAAAGTATTGAATTGAATGAAAATATTTAAAAATCACTATAATTGTCACTTATTCTAAATAAATCTCTCAATATTAGTTTTAAAAGTTCTAATTTATACTACTTGAACTATTTACTCAGTTAACAAGTTCAAACATCAACAATGACGACAAAAATTAAAAATCGATTCTACAGTATTATCATAGATTAGTAAAACTCATTAATTCAAGGATAAACTAATTCTGAGGTTTGATATAGTTTTTGTGCTTGTCTCGATAACTAGACTATAACGCAATCATTGATTCATAAAACATGAAATACCATGTCTTCGTTACTCAAGGTGATTCGCGTGTGAAAATAGATTCACTTAACCATGATGAACTATAAAAAATGCACTTAATTAAGTGCATTTTTTGTCTTGTTTTATTTATAAAAACCGTTAACAATCGGCTAAATCTTCTTGTCTTATTCGAAGAAAACAATAAAATACGACTCGTACGGTCCTTCTACACTTTTTGACGCTTATAAATCTGTAATATTTCATAAACAGATCTCTTATTAGAAACGAAGAGGTTTTTTTTTGTAATATTTCGTTAGACGTAATCTCTAATTGAAACATATAAGATCCAAAAAAAAAAGTCAACCATACAATTGATTTAACGGAAGGATGGACTCCAGCATATCATTTTATTGACATAACATTTAAAGAGCACCCTAAAAATCAAATATAACTTAAATCTTATATTAACTTCTAGTTTTTTTTTGTAAATCATAAAGTACATGAAACTATCAAAAATGGTCACGAGTTTTTCTCTCTAATCATGTGTTGTTGATGAACATTTTCTTTCATCTTGATTGTATAATATCATGTAATGCTAATGTCTGTCATGTAAAAAAAAAAACGTTAATATCACGTGATTACATTCCTTAATGTGAAACTATTTTTAAATGAAGATTATGTTTCATCATTGGCTTATTAGAAGTTACTGAATAGTTTATTACAACATAGAAAATGAGTCTAGTCTCCGCAATTCGATATTCTGATTTAAAAAGTTACGATTTTAAACTTTCAACATGTTAATATCATTTTGCGTCTTTGTTTCAGTATTTCTTTTTAGTCATGTAAAATATAGTTCATTTTATGAATTTATTATGAGTAACTATTATAAAAAAAAAAGAAGAAAATGTATCTGACAATGACATCGTTGAGATAAAAAGAAAGTCGGATATCATTACGTCGTTACCCAACTGCGTAGAATCAAAATATATATATATAAAATTACAAAAATATAAGTGGGTCAAAAAGATAGTGAAGAAGTAGAAACAAGGTAAAGAAATAGAAGAACAGAATAGCAGGAAATTAATAACATATGTTTGATATTTATAGTATTTTTCAAACGAAATTCCCTGTAATCTTGATCTTATTTATACCATATAAGGGCAACAAGTTAAATGAATTATTACTCAAATACACAATAATACTTCGTAAATGAAATTCAAATAGATAAGAACAGTCATAATCACCGGTTTAATCTAACACATAATAGTCAAGTCACCTTGACAGAGAAGTCTTGGAATCTCAAAATAGGATGCATTACTATCATATGTCATAACCTCGAAATTCTCTCAGTAAGATATTGATGGAAATGATTCAGAATATCAGTGGTGATATTCTTGAAAACACTGATTTTGTCAATTATCTAATCATTTCTTGGAATGAATAGTTAGCTGCAAATAACAACTTTTCTAATTGACCTATATTAGCTCAATTAGAAACGTGTCGATTTATCTTTAGACTTATTATTTATTTAAAGCAATATGAGCATCAACATAGAAATTAAACAGGTGATTATGACTGTTCTTATCTATTTGAATTTCATTTACGAAGTATTATTGTGTATTTGAGTAATAATTCATTTAACTTGTTGCCCTTATATGGTATAAATAAGATCAAGATTACAGGGAATTTCGTTTGAAAAATACTATAAATATCAAACATNTTGTTTATACGGCTATACCAGCGAGATTTTTTTTATAGAATACGTAATTTGAAATATTCTTTCAAATGAAACTATTTTCAACTTGAAATTCAATGTCTAGTGAATCACTTTCTGTCGAACTTCTATCCTCAACATTCATTTTTGCTCTTTTTGACTAGTATTTGACACTATTCGACGAGAATAAAGTTGATTTGACTTCAAACAATTATCATATTCTGAATCAGCACACAAAACTGCGTCGATCTATATATGTTTCATATCGTTTTTGCGATTTTCATTTTTCATCACATTTTGGTCCCCCTCAGGAATATGCCAAAAAGTGAATTTAATTAATTGTAACTTAGCCACAGGTTTCGCAGTATCATCTAGCTATTTAATAACATGTTTTATCAAATTTAAATTCGGTAAAAAAAAGTCGGGACTCAAAGGGTTAAATCAAACAAAGAATTAAGTGCATATCAAGTTTACTAATATCCAGACTATGATGTGAACATAAAATGAATGAAAATGATAACTAATTTCATAAAATCGTCCTTTACAAATATTTTGGTTAAGAATGTTCGTGCAAGATTGAAATTGTTTGTATTATGGCTATATATCCAGGAATTGCACATTGTGTGAAGACAAAAGAGAATGACATGTTACATGACATGAGATCTGAACTCATTTTCCCAATGGATGTTTTTTTTCTCGATATATGATAAGACTTATTTGAATAGAGTTCCCAAAAGCTACTGTTCCATAATAATAGTAAGCCTTCATTTGATGTCAATGGTATTCATCAAATGAAGATTTTTTTTTTTCAAGTTTGAAATTCCAAGTCTTGAGAAAAGAAATATTAGATAGAATCAGGTAATCTATTTTTCTATGATTAATGAGCTGAGAGAATTAAAATGAGAAGCAGAGATTTTATTATATCAAATTTCTATTGGTTATTCATAATGACTTGCTTCATCAATTATGACTTTATTCATAATATTTCACTAGTAACTCATTTCTATTGTCTCTTGAATAAAAAGAATAATATAATCAACATTATGTTCTTTCAACCATACGCTTCCTTTGATTCCATCATGTTTCGTAGGGAAAAAAAAGTTTAGTATATTTTAAGCGTTTAGCCATTGTTTTTTGTAACTCAACGATAGGTGAAAGTTGTTTTATATACCATTCAGTGAAGATTTTAACGGTCTATATTTTAGTATAAAAGACTTCATTCTCATATTGACAGATATGATCTAATCAGTAGTTAATACCATATGAAACATCGTTTTAAACTGAACAAAACCATTCGATGAGAATTTTTAGAGTTATTTTTCAATAAATTCGATAATGAAACAAGACTATATCTGCGAAAATCAACGAGCATTGAAGAGCAGTATTTGCTCTTTCAAATGACATTTTGTCGTTTCAAATAGTAAGAAACCCACTGGTTTTTTCATATCTAAAATTTTGTTTCATAATTGAAGTTCTTGAAAATAATGACGGCTACGTCTAATTAAAAGTGAAAACATTCTGAAAATCTCATCGAATAGTTTTGTTCAATTTTAAATGATGTTTCATACAGTATTAACCATTAATTAATAAATACGTCAATATGAGAATAAGTCTTTTGTACTAAAATGTAGCCTGTTAAAATCTGCACGAAAAATAGTGCATAAAACAATTTTCAGTAATCGTTGAATAATGAAAGATTTGGTTAAACACTAAAAGCATGATGAACTCTTTTTTTTTTCTCTCAGAGAAAATATTCTTGTACAATAAAAACTAAAATATCTATGCTCTAATAACTAATCAAATTAGAGTCTTGTAGCCCGCTTTAAGAGCCATCAAAACCACTATTTCGATATTTCCAATAATTTGTCTTATCTAACAACAAGTTTTTTTTTGTTTATATATATATATTGAGTGCATTTTATTTAGTATTATTCTGACAATAGTTCTATCTAATGAATTATTAAACATATTTTTTTTGTCATTCGATGTTTTCTGATAGATATGCATTCACAGACAATTTTGTTTTTATTAATCGATATTTATTTCTACGATTCACACATTATTATCATTCATGAAAACTTAAGAATGTTTTTATACTACTTTTATATTAATTAAAATTAAATCAATAAATACATTAAAAAAATGATATTCGACTTTTTTTTTTAAGAAGCGATAGTAAACTGTGTAAAAAAATTAATTAATTTCTCTAGAGAAAAGAAAAAAAATGTCTTTTAATATGATAAAAATTCTATGCGAACGTGATGTCTAAGTCAGAAGTTATATCGTCTTTTTAGTTCTCGGAACACATCATAGTGAGCATGAATAAGTATAATATGCCATTAATTTCCATAGATGATATGTTTTTTTTTCTTGTTTATATGCTATTTTTTGTTCTTTAAATATTATTTATGATATATTAATAGTAAAATCCTCAAGTAAAGTACTGAGAAGAAATCATCATTACACACATAAATCTCGATTAAATTAGATATATAAATATAGAAGCATGTTTTCTTCTTTATTATTATTATGAATATAGACAGATGTTCATAACTTTTCTACTATTTTCCTGTCTTCACGTTGAATGTCTTTATAGCAATTATCGTTATTATTTTTTTCTGATGGAGAATTTTACATTTGTCTGACTTCTTTTTCCTGTTGAGTTGCTCACTAACATACTATCTTTTCCTATTTGTTGTAATTGCTTTTTTTTAAATGATGAATTTAACCTTCAGATATAGTATTTAGGAGATTGTGATTTACTCTTAAAAGAGAAAAATAAATATTTTGCATGTTACATTAGCCTTATTCGATAAAAGACGAAGTAGATGAACGACAATATAAATTGACTTTTACGTCGTTTCATATTTTCATCTAAGCTTAAAATACTATTTTCTTTTTCATATTCAATATGAGTTCATTGTCTGATAATGCTTTTCTTTTCTTTTCTTAGAAGACATCGCATTAACATTTATTATTTAGGAAAACAAAATGTCTTAGACTTTTTTAGAAATGCTTTTGCTAATAAATAGAGTCATAAAAAGTATTTTTTTGTGCTTTGTTTTGTTATATTACTTTTCTTTTTCTTTTTTTATTCATAGCATTATGAACCATTTACGACCGGAACTAGCCGAGCAACTTCCTCAAATAGTTCTTCAACAAGAGCCATCTGATTTAACCAATACTAATGAACATGATAATATCTTTGTAACAAATGTGACTCTTAATGACCATCAAGCAAATATACGTCGTCGAGCACCAACAAGACATTCAATAAAATCTTTAACTAATCGAAAATCATTATCAAAACAAAATTCAACAAAAGAGGTAACCATCTCTATTATTTTTATCTTCATCTATTATAGACTAATGTACAATATTTTTTTTTTTCATAAAATATTTCATCTTTCGTTTAATCTTGATTAAGTATGCAGACGATATTATAGCATAACGAAATATGTATTTCTATGTTAACAAGTATTTTATCAGCTATGCATTGGTATGTATTAGTATGATACAGTGAGAAAGAATTCACACTTGAATGACCAATGAATCGGTCGTAAATTGACGAATATAATTCTATTACCCTTTTGCAATTAAGAATCTTACTAATTCTTCGTTTTTATCTGTTCTATTTCTCGGTTTTTTCTTTGCGGTATTAGATACAAACATATCTTTTTTTCTCTCTCTTTCGTCCTTGCCGGTTGTCCGCTACCCTATACATACCAAATTGATTCTTCGAGGATAAGTATAGAGGAAAAAGACGAGTTGGCATTACATATGGGCAAATGAAAATATGTTGATGATCACTCAAATACATTATCGTTCTTCCTAATATTATAGAAACTTTATAAAAAAAAAATGTCTGTATCCAAAATATCAAATTCGAATAGAAGAAAATTAACAAGATATCATACAATACATGTGAATTCATCGATTGAAACAGAAATACTTCGTAATATTCCAAGTGTTTCACAAATAGCTCCATTACCGGAAAGTAAATCAGATGGTATTTTACCAATTTTAAGTCTTGATAGACGTGATTCATCAAATTCAATAGAATCTGATAATGAATTATCATTAAATATAGAAATAACAAATACTTCAAATGGTCATGAACCGGTGGGTGAATACAATATATAAATCTTTTAATTCTAATTAAAAATTTTTACATCATTTAATTAGTTCGAAAATATAAATAGAACCGAGAATTTTTATGTACTTCTATCGCATTTCATAATAAGAATTATTGCACTAATTCATTCTTGAAGAGAAACCACAGAATAAAATTTTTTTTTTTTTGTTATTGTTTTTCATTAAACATGATAATTAAATTCGATTTTAATATGATGCATTTTTTTTCGATTTTGAATGTGGTTAAGTACTTAAAAACAAATGTTCTAAAGAGATTGAACTTTTTATGAGAAATTTTACAATAATTTAGAAGATTAAGTGCTCTTTAGTTGTACTATTATTTGCATAAGATATTTTCTGTTAAGTTAATTGAATAAGATTTACAGTATAATTTTGAATACAAATGAATTTTATGTCTATATTTCTGATATTTATAAAATTAATACCCTATCGTTTTAACAGAAAATTTGATTAATTATTCATGCCTTATATTACAACGTAAGTTTTTGCTTTTAATGGAAAACACTTTGTTAAAAAATTCTGAAATTTTTTTCTACAAGCTACATTTCCATAATAAGGATTACGGGTTTAACAATATTTTTTAATGTTTCTAATTTTACTATAGCTGACTATGGGTTCGTAAGTACGGAATTATACTTCTGAAATTATTGACCCGTGTTCAATCAGTAGGCTAGATTATGTTTCACTAACGATACATGTTAACTATAATATACTAATTCTCCTTGTTGATACAAAGAACATTTTTAGTATATCAGGCAGAATTCATTAAGTTCTCATTTTATGAATTTCGACCTAGACTCATACTTTCAATAGAATCTAGGCAGTATTACCAATGATCAGTTTTTTTGGTTCTATCCGAGATTATAGTCGAAATTCATGAAATACAAAATTAAATTTTTTGGAATTGATCGAAAATTCGTATTTTTGAGTTTTTTTCTTGAAAAATTCCAACTGATTTTGAAACTTATGTTTTACATCAGATAAAATCTGAGAATAGTTTCAGAAAGAGCGTTCAAAACTGCTCACAACTGGCATGAAGAGTCACTAGGTATTCGGTAACCAATTTCAAAACCTTTGTTTTGTATTTCATGAATTTTGACTACAGCCTCTCATAGAGAAAAAAAATCTGATCATCGTTAATATGAAAAAATCCATAGGAACTACATTCTGCATAAGTAGAAAATGTCATCTTTGACATAATATTCTAGGAATTGGTGCATTCCTAATAGAACCTGTCAAGTTCAAATCTTGAATAGTTTCAATGAATAACAAGATCTAAAAGGAGTGTTGAAGTACAGGAGTATAATTCAGATTTCTGTAGAGTCAAATTTTTCAACTCCAAGAAGCTCCCAAACCGTTTTTAATTGACATATATACTTCATTTTGTACTACTTGTTAATGAAAATATGTTGCGGATGTGTTCTTTTTTTGTTGAGACTTATTTATGAATCCTAAAAGTAATGAGTTTTGGTTTACTACATATGCAGTATAAACTTGTTACTATGTAACAGTAAAAATACTTGACATTCTCGAGCTTCCTTATGAGCATTTTTAGTAATTATACCTTGACTAACATTCCATTCTTGAACTTCCGTACATAAAATCTTGCTTAATCACGAACAGAATACGGCGTCAAATTTTTTTTCTTTGGGCTTTTCTCTTGTTTTTTTTATTTCATTTCTCTCCAATAAGAAATTCTTCATCAAGCTTTTTGCTATAATTTAAAATTTCCATATGATTTAGCTCATTGGTTCAATTATTTCTTTTTTTCGCTCTACTTGTTTGTTTATATCTTTACTTGAGGCGTTTGGAGGGAGTGCTTATGACGAGTTTCGATATATTGAGTTTAGCTCATCATTAAGCCTTTTATCAGTCTCTTAGAAGTAATATGTATGTGATAACTCTTAAGGTGACGAGTATGGGTTTGAGTTTACGTCAGCTGAGATTGTTTGGTGAATGATATGTTTATGAGCTTTGGCTTTGTTTTCCTATTATTTTATGGTTCTCTATTTGCTGTCTACGATCGTGATTGGAGCTATATTATTTATGATCTTGTATGATTTTTTCATGTACTCGCTCTGTTCTGTTAACTCTCTGTGATGTACTACTTTTTTCTTTTTATTTTGTCACCAGACAACCATGGAGTCTCATATGATAAAACATATAATAACAAGAAAAATAATTGACTGTTTTACTGATTTAACTCTGACATTGATTCCGAAAAAAAATTGTTCACGATAATTCCCACTCCATCGGAGTCGAAATTGAATTTCGGAGTTCAATGTAAGGCTCTAATCACAACTTGTATATCAATAACATCTCATTATAATATATGAGCTACTTCCTTATTGCATTTCTGATGAAGGATTAAGTCAAAGGATGGTGAAGAAATGTGTCTCAAAATAGATCGAATAAAAAAAATCTGAATGTGATTAGCAACAATAGCTACATCATGTCTCACATTTTAATCCCGTAGGGATTCGCTAACAGCTTGCTATTTTGCCGAATAAATTAAAACATACTTTTGGAATAAAATTCAGTTCGGATCTACAGAGAATTTAATAAACTCTAATGTCAGGTAAATTAAAATTATTAAAAATCAATTTTTTTTTTCTTTTCCATTAATCTCTTGTATTCATTTTAATACAAAATACATAGAAAAAATATATGTGTGAAAGTTCATAGTTTGTGTTCAAAATTCTCGTTAGATCTAATTGAAATATGTAAAAGATGAATCCAATAAATATCTTTAAAAAAAAATGACATTTCATATTAATGGATTATGTTTTATTTGCGTGTAAAATATACTTTTAGATACATAAAAGACTTTGACATTAGAAGAAGGAAATAATCACTCGACTTCTTTCGGATGAAAAATTTCATAGAAAAGAAAAACTAATATGAATAATCTCTATTTATCAAATGAACATTGTAATTAGAATAAGAATCGTATTAATAATCAGTAAATTTGAAAAGAATTTTCTCAAGTTTCTTGTTAAAATATTAATTAGCTTTTATTTATAGCATCGTACATGCCTTGATACAACAACACGACAACAATATTCTTATTCTCAAAGCTCAGCTTTATCTGATGGCAGTAAGTTTTCTTCTTCAAATTCTTGAATACATAATAAACTATCATTATCCCTTTTTACATAAAAATACAACTATGCGTAAAAAGAGAGAATCAAAAAAACAAATAATGCTATTCCTAATGATGCATTATTCGTTGGTGTGATTAACAATGAGCAACAAAAAAAAACAGAGTGATAGAAAACAATCGAATGACACCCATCCGCTTCGTTAAATGTCATTCATTCCAATATTAGCCTAATAATCGTTGTTTAAGATTAAATTATTTTTATTCTTGGCAAAATGATTTTTATTTTTATCATGAATACACATCAGCAATAATGAAAGCTATACGAAACACATATTCAATTTCAATTAATAAATGTCTATCATAATGAATACAAAAACTATTTATCGTTCATTCAAAAGAAAACAATTAAATATCAATTCTTCAATTTAATCTTATTATCAATTATGTGTTATTTCCAATAGAATTGTAAGACGACTCCTTTTTTTTTTGTGTTCAAATGTTATTCAACAAATCTAACAACAAGTGTGTCATTATTAATAGAAAAACAAAAGCAATCGCTTCAATAATCTAACCATGTGTATGTTATAATTATTATCAGACATCTCTATTTTTATGACATTGACACTGAGAAAATCAACACGTTTTCCATTCTAATATATAATATATTGATCTGATGTTACTAACATGACCGACACAAGAATCGACATGAATACAAATCTATATAGACTACATGTCAGTAAAAGATATTTATATCTATTGTTCTGTCATCCATTCATCTACTCTTAATGATAGAAACAAGAAAACTAGTTTGTTGTTGTTCTTGTTATTGAATAGAGATTATATTCTACTACGAGTACTATCCATTACTTTATTTATTAACTTCTAATACATCTGTTTGTAATATCGATTTTGTACATATAACTTAGTATCATCTGGAAATTTTTCAGTTACAATATAATGATTATTATAATAATCAACAAATTGAAGATTACACATGAACAACATGATACACTATATATACTTTGTCAAAGTGATAATAAAAATTATTCGTTTAGACATATCATAACATCGTACTCAATGATAATTATATGTTCAAATTTTTTATATAAAATTTATTCATACATAATCAAATTAATTCAACAATACATCGAGCGTTTCAATTACTATTCCAGAATATATATACGCAAGTCCGAATAACTGACTACTCTTTCTCTTGTTGATGTTTTTTTTCCATTAGTCACAGAGTATTCAATATTATTATATATATATATATATATATACACTAGAGAAAGAAAAAAAAAGAGGAGACAACGACCAAGAAAAATTATGTCTTGTTCTTGTTTTCCTATGAGATGCAAAGAACGAGAGAGACACTAACACCTCCGTCATCATCGTCTTTCTCTTTATTTTCTTCGCTCGTGCTTATGTGCTATTGTTATTGACGTCTTTGTCATCATACCATAAAGTTATAGTTTTTTTTTTTCTTCGATAAACTCATGTCGAATAACGAGAATGATGATGACGATGATGATTTAGCAGCTGATCCTGAAAAAGTACAATGCCGTCGTAATCGTCGTACATCTATTCAATTTATAGACAAAAATGTTATTCGACGACGTTCATCTGGTAACGAAAAACAAGTACAACAACCACAACGTTTATTATCAATCAATTCAACTTCTGATAAAGAATCTATTGATTTAGATCATTTACAACAATATAGTGAGAATCTGTATATAAACAGAAAAAGTTGTTTTTTTGCTTTCAAAGAAAATAATCAATCTACAGATGGTTCGATATGATTATTATTATTATTTCTTTTCTTTTTTTAGCAACTGCAAGTGATAGTGATAGTGATGCTGATGATGAATGTGGCGTTAATATACGTGAATTGCAACATGTTCGTTTTTGATTAGAAATTTTATTTTTCTATTATTATTATTATTATTATAGAAAAATCGATCAGGTTTTACAGATTTTGCTGTTAGACGTATAAAACATGCGCAATATGGTCGACGAGAAATTGAAATTGCTGAACAAGGTTTGTTTCATTTAAAGAATTATTTAATAAGTAAACACTTTTTTTTATTTGCCGTTATATGAATATGAATAGACTTATAATGAGCTCTCTTACTCAATGCATTTTTTTTCTGCTTAAGAATTTTTCCGACTATATACAATTTTCATCTTTTTATATTTCTAACAAGACCTATGTCAATTCTCGTGATGAGGGTAATTAAGTTTCTATTATGAAACCTCTTCAGACTTTTTTAAAAATAAGACCATCATAACTGAATAATATTATGATATTGATTATATGATTAAAAAAGTATAATATTTGACAGATATACGTTTCGGACATTTGCCGATTACGATCAACATGCTGAACTTTTGAGCGAGCAAAAGTCGAAATTAGATTTATTTTCTATAGTCGGAAGAGTACTACTTGATTTGTTTATCTCTTCAAAATTTGACGTATAACTTTTTGACTTTGATCATGTTATTTTATATGTTCGTTTAATTTTTATTTCAAAAATTTTTTTTAGAAATGCCAGGTCTTATGGCATTACGTCGTCGAGCTGAAGGTGATAAACCATTACAAGGTGCAAAAATTGTCGGTTGTACACATATAATAGCTCAGACAGCTGTAAGAATTTAAATTTCTTTTTTTACTAATATACATCCTATTTTATTAATATTATAACAATAGGTTTTAATTGAAACATTAATACGATTGGGAGCTCAAGTACGATGGTGTGCTTGTAATATATTTTCCACTCAAGTAAATATTTTTTTAATTTCCTTTTAAATTCTTTCAATATATGTATATCTTGTTAAATACTATCTAAAAATAAATATTGAATTATAGAGGTAGACATATGGACCCTCTACATGGACGTGACAGATATCCTTAGAAATAGTTTATTACAAACATGACAGACATGGTTAACAACATCTTCTTTCATCACAGACATTGACTGATGTTGTTGATAGACTATTAAAGATCGTATATGAATAACATTTCGTTAGAAAATACGAACTTTCTTCCTTAGTGCATTTATTGAGGATTAAATAACAAGAACGATCAAGAAATAAATCCCGAAATACATAGAATAAAACAATCTGTCTACAATTAACAAATGCAACTATGTTATGTTTCATATTTTATTCTACTTAGCAAGGATTACACTAACAACTTGCTTTTTTTCTTTAATACATAGAATGAAGTAGCTGCTGCACTTGCGGAAGAATCCATTCCAATATTTGCATGGAAAGGTGAAAATGATGATGATTTTTGGTGGTGTATTAAAAAAGCAATTGGTTCTGATCAAGGTTGGCAACCAAATATGATATTAGATGATGGAGGAGATTTAACACATTATTTTCATAAACATTATTCAACATTATTTTCAACAATTAAAGGTATTGTTGAAGAATCTGTTACGGGTGTACATCGTTTATATCAAATGTGTCGTACACAAACATTAACTGTACCAGCTATGAATATAAATGATAGTGTTACAAAAACAAAATTTGATAATTTATATTTATGTCGAGAATCAATTGTAGATGGAATAAAACGATGTACGGATATTTTATTTGGAGGAAAACAAGTTGTTGTTTGTGGATATGGTTTGTTGAATTTTTATTTTTGTTTAGATTTTTTGAATAAAAAAATTTGAGAATAGAAAAAAATCATTAAAATAATTTTTAACAAAAAAAGATAAAAATTTTGACGTTTTTTCCTTATTCTTATAATCTTATATTTATAGCATCTGTTATGTTTTATATTTTAATCTACCAGGAATTGCACTAATAGTTTTTTCCTTCAAAGTTGTTCTTTAATAGTTAAATCTTTCTGTCACGTAATTCAGAATCATCTAGACATCTACAAGAAGAACACTCCCTGTCTAGCTGTATGAGATACTATCTAACGACAAGTCCAATAGCTGCATATACTAACTAACTACAAGAATATAATATATGTCATAACATAATCAGCATGCTATCGAATGAATGATCCGAGACAAACTAGTCATCAGTAATTTGAACCTATCGGACAATGTTGTGAGAAGAAACTAAATTCAAGACTGCGTGAAAAATTGTGTTCTGCTTTTTATCTATCAATTTCATAAGTCATCGATTTAGAAATTGTTTATGTTTACTTAAAGCATATCAAAAGTAATGGATTTGACAGATACAATTCCATAGGAAAGAGTTAATTTGGTTTTTTGCTTGAATAAGTATTACAGGCTAATAGCTATGTTTAATTATGTACAATCAATTTATTTTAAGACATTTGTTTAAACCATTTTGTAAATACAAACCTTTGGTTAAAAGATGCATGATCTTGGTGACAGCACTCTATGTAGTTATCAGTGGCCATTTGATTGATGAAGTTTATCAGTTAGATCGAGCAACTAGAAAATAAGTAGTAATTTATCCGTCAAATAAGGTGGGTTTAAAATAAGTATGATATATTCTGACAACAACTTCCGAGATTTATTTTTTCTAGACTTTTCTATTAAATTTTGCTATATATTTTATTATCAGACTAAAATATATTATATGTTATTAATAGATAAATCCCGGCAGTCTCTCAAACGAATGTTCCTTGAATTTCCAACAACAAAAAAATGGTCGTTCGCCGTAAAAATAGAGTGTACTTAAAAAATTTAATATCTCAATAAAAAATATTCTTTTTGTTTTGAAACTTCCAGAACATTCTCAGAGTCATGAGATCTCTCTATGGTTTATATTTCAAAGCGAAATTCCGTTATTTGATTTTTTCGATAAGCTGGATCGAAAATTCAGTAAAACGATCGTAATTTGGCTTTCGAAGTCCATGGTCATGAACTTTTTTAGGATTTTTTTAGTTGTCTTTGTGAACCCAAATATAAGCTTAAGCAACGAGTATTAGTTTGTGTAGTTTCCTCATAGAGAAAAATATGAATTATATATATGTTATGTTTTAGGTGAAATCGGTAAAGGATGTTGTTCAGCATTACGTGGTATGGGTTGTTTTGTTTTTGTAACAGAAATCGATCCAATATGTGCATTACAAGCATGGTAAAACTTTCGTGTAAATATAAAATATTTTAATAATTTTCTTTTTTTCTTTTTAAATTAGTATGGAAGGATATAAAGTTGTTCGCCTTGAAGAAGTTATTAAACAAGCTGATATTATTGTTACAGCATCTGGAAGTAAATATACTATAACAAGAGATTCATTAGATAAAATGAAAAATGGAGCCATCGTCTGTAATATGGGACATTCAAATACAGAAATTGATGTTGTACGTGTTTATTTTTTGTTTTTCTATTGAATAATTTTTTGTTTTTTATTAAAATAGAGCTTTTTACGCTTTCCATCATTAAGTGATTTACAAGTTGAACATGTTCGATCAAATGTTGATCATGTTATATGGCCAAATGGTAAACGTATTGTATTGATTGCTGAGGTAGAAGTTCAAATATTTGTTTGAATAGAAAATTAAATTTTCATTTCATAGGGTCGTATTATGAATTTATGTTGTTCAAGTGTTCCATCATTTGTTGTTTCAATAACAGCAGCAACACAAGTATGATTAAAATGAAATGAAATGAAGTCTTTTTTTTTTCTATTTAAATTAATATTTAGGCTTTAGCATTAATTGAACTTTATAATGCACCAACAAATCGATATAAATGTGATGTTTATTTATTACCGAAAAAAATGGGTATAAATTAATTATTTGGTTGACATTTTTCTTGTTTACTTAAAAGTTTTATGAAATTATTTTCTAGATGAATATGTAGCAAGTCTACATTTACCTGTATTCGATGCTCATCTAACGGAATTAACCGATGATCAATGCAAATATTTGGGTATTAATAAAGCTGGACCGTTTAAACCAAATTATTATAGGTTAAAATATTTTTTTTTTATTTAAAAATTTATTCTTGTCTTTGTTTAGATACTAAAGGTTTCAATCATGTAACTCCACAGCAATGGTTTTTTTTCCTTTCGTTTGGTTAAACATGAAAATAATTGTTTGTATTCTATAGATTAAACTTATTCATTGTAGAATATTTTTTTTTAAATCGATTTGGTGAGATTGAATTATAATTATATTTCGAAATATTGATTTATCAATGATGTAATTGAAATTTTGAATATACAAGATTAATTTACGTAGCTTTGTATAGTTTATTAAGAAATATGAAAGATACAGATTTGAATAAAATGTGTCTATTTATTTATTTTGATGTATTGTGTTTTGTTAATTGCTTATAAAACAGTCATGAATATTTCTTCATAAAACATTTTGTTTATTTTTCTACAATGAATAGTTGCAAAAAAATTTGAGAAATTTAATTCTATAAGTTTCTATTAACTAGTTAGAGACTACAAATCAACTTTGTTGTAGAGTTTTAAAAATTTAAATTAAATCAATACTGAGAGATGTATGATGAACATTGAATCAGAGTGACAAAAGAAAGTTTTTTCTTCTGATTTGATTGGAGACAACTAAAACTATGAGATTTATATTTCAACTTGTTTATCTTATTCCAAGCGATTTTCTTTTTCTAGTAAAGAATCCTTCGTTAATAGAAGACTTTCCTGAAAAAAATAATGCGTTGGTCATAATGGCTACGTTGTTTAGCACGTATACAACAGGCACTATTTTCAAACTTTGGTACCACCAGCTATGAAATGATCCTGGGCAATTCACGAACGACTGTTTGTTTCGGGTCATCCATAAGATAACATGCTAACTAAATTGTGACATACGCCTGCTCTTGTGGCTACTTAGTATATATGAAGAGAGTTCAAATGATCGAGCGAAAGAACTCTGCGTCAGATCGGCCTTCTGTACAGAATCACAGCTAATATTAATTACAGGGAAAAATTATCGAGATAATAAATCCGTAACTAAACAGCACCTTATATCGCAGGATATTGTTTTGCTAATGGTTTACGTCTGTTTTTTTTTTCAAACTAAATACATGCGTTATAAGCCTACGAAATCATATAATGTAAATATAAAAATAAGCGCTTATCTTTAATTTCTCCTGATTTTGTTCGAAAGTTGTTTGCTATCATTTTGAACAAGATTAATATAAATAAATTCTTCTTTTTAATTGTTATTTTGTTTTCGTCGCTCAATCTCTATCATGCATTTTATCAAAAAATAAAAACATCGTACAATAAACTTGTACAAGTCAGACTATTTCAAACATTAAGTTCATTGACTTCTCTTGGTACAAAGATGAGTTTGTGTTGAAGAAGTTATTAACGTTATTTCATTGGATTGGGTTGTGGATAAGAGCAAGAGTGAAGCTTTTATTCCATTCACACTCATACCCTTTTCCAATATTTAGACAAGAAACTATCGGCTTTGATTGAAACTTTCATGATTAAGAGACCTACTTATGTAGAAAAATAATAATGAAAATTTCTTCTTTTTGATTTTTCTATTATGAACACTTTACCATAAACTGAAAATCCAATAAAACGATCATTACTCAAAAATGCTGCTCTATGAGAAGAAATCATTTCAAACTTTTTCTAGTCTCAGTTAGTACAACTCTCATAATCAAACTATCACTTCGATCAATAATTAAGAGTTGCAATATGGTCTCTCATTGAATTATATAATTTTGTGGATTCATTGGCCGTGTATCTGTATAAAAAAAAAACTAGTTGGCATAACCTCTTTGGAGTTAATATGTAAAATTCATGCGTATTCTTTCAGCCTTGTTATACAAATATAAAATATGCTAAGTGAAAAATCTTTAGCAGACGATATCTGTTTCCCAAGGATGATTAATTACCACAGAAAACATCTGTTTTATGTATTCCTTCATTTCGAACAGAAGCTTTTTTTCTATTCTTACTACTGTTCTTTTTCTTTTGTTTGTCTTGTTGCTCTTTGTTTGCAATTTGTTCCGTTTTTCTTAATTTAACATTATTATTATTCTAAATATCGATCTAATTGACAAATAAGTCTATTCTACATATCCATTATATTTGCAGCAGATCTCAACGCATTATCATATATTTTAATAAACTCCCAAACACTGATGTTATAACTTCCTAACATTATAATTTGATTAATTCACGGTTTTTTTTTTTTTTTGGTTATTGATCATATGACAATTGTGGTAAATCAATACATCACTCTATTCACGATCCAAGATATTATGAATATAAATTTTTATTTGTGCAAAAATTATAAAACATTCTCATAAACGTATTTCAGTCATTCAAATTTTGATGAAAGCTTTAGAATGATCTAAAATTTTCTAGAACATTGTAAGTCTTGTTGTTAATGCCATTTGACATCTTTTTTTCATTACTAAGGAACTTCGAAATAGAAGTTTGATGCTTGACGAATATGAAAACATAGTCAATAGCCATTGAATTTTCTTCTCTCTTCTTTTGCTATAACGAGAGAAGTCGTACAACATCAACTTAGAATTTATTATATTGTTTACCGAAAAGCAAACCGGAGAAACATAAATTTCGATTCTATCAAAATATTTTTCTATCACACATTATTTTAGCAGTAGAGGATATGAATAATTAATATTTGTTGTTCTTTGTTCGTATTTATTAAAAAGAAAATATTCATATGACATTGAATGTGATTTAATAGATCATAAACTAAATATTTTTTCTGCCTCAAAGGAGATGATTGTCTTAGTTTGCGATCTGTTATTTGTACAGAAAGAAGAAGTACAAGAAAAATATTTATGAATACTTTCCTTGGGACTCGTAATATTTGTTCTTTTTCTGCATACTTTTCTTGTTGCATATGTTTGTATAATAATCGAAACTGCAGCAATTGACTTACGAGTCAAATAGCAGTTCGAAAAACTACGAATTGAATTATATTCGCCTCTGTTACACAGATGTTAATTGTTAGAAATAAAATATAAATTTTTTATTCAATGAAAATCAATAAATTTTTTTTAGGTAAAAAATTTGTTATATCTTTATTCAAGAGTCTTGAACGTTGAAATATATTTCTTTTGAAGTATTTCAAATATATGTTGATCGCGCCGTATCAAATTACTAACATTCACTATGAAATATAAACCGAAATTAAAAAAAAAAGAAGTCTATTGACTTTATAAGACTTTCTTCTTTTCAATCTCACTGATGCTACATTAATACACAAAAAAATGTTTCATCTAGGATTAAGAAACAAAATCATTCAATTCAAAGTTGTTTAGAAAGATAATCTTACACTTGAATTATAGTATTAGTTATACTATTTTTTGTCACCTATATATAAAACAATAGTGTATCTCTTCAAAATAAATTTTGACTTAACAACAGGTTTTATGTTATTGTATATGTCAATTTTTTGTTTCGTTCTGTCTATTAATAACATATATAACAATATCAATAATATCCCATCGTTCTTTTGTATATGAATAAAATCTGTATTCATACATCATATTATTTCTTGTAAAACTCAAATTATATGAATTGATATTATCCTGTCAATATTATATAACTAAAAATGAAATTCATTTCAATATTAATGAACTATTATATCATCAATATAAATTTCATTCGAAAATGTAATATATTCATCAATGAAAGAAAATAAATTATCAAATTATCTGATTTTATATTTAATTGATGATAATTACAATAGAAATATTATAATACAATGAATAGTTTTTTTGTTTGTCTCTTTCTGAATTAACCTTGAATCGTAAGTACACACATATATACATATATCTATACCTACATATAAATATATACAAAAAAAAAAACCGCCTCTGTTCTGTAACTGTTTGTTATTCTCGTTCTTCTTTTTTTTTTTTTGTCGTGGGTCTCTGAATGTATTCCTCGTACAATGAAGGCAAACATGAATACACTTCAATGCCTGCATAGTTATGGCACGACCGAGGGTAGTCGATGAAGAAGCATGGCTCTTTTTTTTCCTTGCTACCACTTTTTCTTTTCTCTATAGCAACATCTTTCTTTTTTCTCTTCTCATATGGAAAAGAAAAACGACGTCAAATAAGTTGTAAACTACAACGAATAAGAAACATGATGCTCGTCTAGAGATAGAAAATAGTGATGAATGAGGGTGTTTTTTCTTCATTTTGTTTTTAATATTGAATCAGATATTTTAACAATTTTTCTTTTTTTAAGTAATTAAAATCTAATGGTTGATTTACTTTATATTATAACATTAGTACCAACAGTACTATTATCATCATTAAGATCCGATGATGATACATTTGATAAAATAAATTATAAATATACAGTTGCTTTACTTGTGCTTTTTGCAACACTAACAGCAACAAAACAATTTGATGATGATAGAATCGAATGTTGGAATAGAGCAAATTTTATTAAACCGTATATTGCATATACTAATCAAATATGTTATATATCATCAACATATTATGTTGACAGAAATAAAACAATACCTCAAAATATACAAGAACGGTAAGTAAATTTTGATACATTTTTTTTTAATAGTAAAAAAGAAATTTACTGATTATTTCTATAGACAAAATCTAATATAATAAATGCATACTATTCATAAAAACCACAAGGAGTATTTAAAGTAATCAAAAAGATGTACGAGAATACATCGTGTATAATAAATTTGAGTTTTTTTTAAACAGTATCATAGAATATAATTAGATTTTCATAGTTTTTCACAGACAAGGTCATTATTTCCTACTATGCATCATCAAGCCAGTTTCAAAAATATAATCATTGAAAAGTTAAAAATTAATAATGTATATAGGTTGATTTTCTTATTGCACTTGTTATTATGTATCCCTAATGTCCCCTATCTTATTCATTGAAGGACTTCAATTTAACGCTTGTAGTCCTTCGCACGAATGCAAAGCATTAAACTATTCCATCATTCGTCTCTTTATCATACTACTTATTATTATAGTCAATACTATGGCATTTTATGTAGGAAATCATGCGTTTATTT